CTGAAGTTCAGATTTTCGAACTCGAGAGATTCACGCAAAATGCTCGTTTAGCGCGTCAAAGGCACAAAACGCTCAATTTACCAAGCGTCATTCGCGCCGCAGGATGTCTTTTCGCGCGTTTGCATTGACTTAACATGTAAATCACTCGCGCTTGACGCGGGTTCCGCGTCTGGTGTGAACGCAGCATAACAAGGCAGGATGGATCCATGCTTTCATGATGTTGATGCCAAATTCTGACCCCACCATCCAAATGTGCAGCAGAAATCGAGACTTGTTATTTTAGTCTTTTATTGTCCAATTTTGGTGAGCCAGTGTTAATTGTAGCCTAAGTTTCCTGTTCATAGCTGACAGGAGTGGCACCTGGTGTGGTCTTCTGCTGCTGTAGCGCATCTGCCTCAAGGTTAGACGTGTTGTGTGTTCAGAGATGCTCTTCTGCAGACCTCAGTTGTAACAAGTGGTTATTTGAGTTACAGTTGCCTTTCTATCAGCTGGAACCAGTCTGGCCATTCTCCTCTGACCTCTGGCACCAACAAGGCATGTGTGCCCACAGAACTGGGTATTTTCTCTGTTTCAAACCATTCTCTGTAAACCATAAAGATGGTTGTGTGTGAAAATCCCTGAAGATCAGCAGTGTCTGAAATGCTCCGAACAGCCCGTCTGGCACTAACAACCATGCCACGTTCAAAGTCACTAAAATCAGCAGATCGACCATGTCTACATGCCCAAATGCATTGAGTTGCTGCTATGTGATTGGCTGATTAGAAATTTGTGCTAATGTACAGTTGGACTGGTGTACCTAATAAAGTGGCCAGTGAGTGTATGTTAAAATAAGATCTTGGGTTTTCTGATTCTCATTGATATCTGTTTACCTTATTGTGCAATGCAGAAGTAAGCTCTTTCTGCGATTTGTTTAAAATTAGGAATAATCAAGCATTCCTCCTGGTTTTGATCCTTGAGTGTATATTAAAATAATATCTTGGTCGTTTGTCGCATTGAGTTCTGTTGTTTTACACTGAGCTAATGATGCTTTCGGTCCTCTAACCTTTGTTTAAATCTAGCGTGATTATTTAAGGTGATTACGTTTTCTTTTAAGAAGCATATGTTGTTTTGTAATGTTTTCATTTAGCATGTAATGCATATATTTATTTAAGAATTATAGGTGGGCATGGATAAATTTTTTAAAATCTAAATTAATCTCGGAATAAATGTAGATAGATCTGGATTAATATGGCTCATTTGAATTCTGCCGAAGGCATTCAGAATATGTGTGCTACCCAAAATGCTTACAACATTGCATCTAAAACTCGAGTGTCTATTACTTTGATCAATATCTAAACACACAAAAAGGGGTATTTAGAACATTAAAGTGTGTTCACTTATTCTAGTACACCCAGTCAACACAATATCTTTTTTTATTACATTATTCATTATGCTCATTGCGCCGTTTTTGTTGTAGAGACTATTGCGAAGCAGAGGTGCCAACAGCATCAACACCAACTGACTTGACGCAAGTTCAAACAAGCAGGTCAGCAGTAATTGTAAGCCAGAACACATACACACTAAAGTTCACAGAGACTGGCAGAGAGAAACTGTAGAGATATCAACAGGACACGCTGATTAATGATCCAACCGCCTTCCTTTTTCTGAGTCACACGCATCAACACAGCAAACACACTTCAGAGCGGAAAGAATGAACCCAAAAACCCTGCCAATGTCACCGTAGGCTGTTTAGGGCAAGGAGGTAAACAAATAAGACGCTCGCATTGTGGTGTCTTGCCCTGCCATTCACTTTTATTTAACAATTTGTGCTTAATTTTGTTTATACATGATCATTTAGCAAAAAAGAGCACACCATATGTACGTTTTTGTGACTGATTTTAAAATATTTCACTTATTTGTTTTATTTTGGCTAGAATAAAAGCAGTTTTTTTTACCATTTTAAAGTCAATATTACTATGTACGTAAGTATTATGTATTATGTATGTATGGAAATGTTTGCATTCTTTAAAGCATAAAAATACCTTAATATGTTTGCAGATATTTAAGAAACATATTTAAATTCTTGTTTATCTGAAAAACATATTCTACTTTCGTAATGAGTATTTTGTGCCGGAACTTCTGTCTTCTTTTTGATTCCTTTAACCTGCCCAATGCCAGTTTAGCTAATTATATTTCAACATCTCAGGTTGCCTTGGTGGAAGACAGCGTAATTCATTTAATCAGTCTTAGAAGGCTCTTAAAGTGTGCGTCCCTGAACGAAATGCAACCTCTGGTGGACATTAGCAGACTCCAAAATGAGACTCAGATTCAGAGTTCCACATGAGGTTTTTAATTAGCAAATGATATAAATATTCCGAATGTAAGGTGAGCAGGTTAAATTGTAACCCAGTGTCGTAACAACACGCTACTTGACGAGATTTGCCGTGATAAGAAATTTGCCTGTTTGCAACATGATAAAAATTTAATTTCAGCTATTCAGATGCACAGAATAGTGCACCCACTGCACTTCAACGAAATGGAAAGGTTTATTGCAGGGCTTTAAAAAGGCTTAAAATGTCTTAAATGTCAAAATTCAAATTAAAGCCTTAAAAAGTCTTAATTTTACTAAAACATTATGCTGTAGGTCTTAAATCTTTTTTAACAGGTCTTAATTTTCCTTTGTTCATGTATTGCTACCTAATCTGGTCAAAATACAATCACCAACAATCGACTCTAAAACTTTAAACATTTTATTTAAAAAGATAGTTTTTCTACTTCATTTATCATAATGGTTTAATTATTTTCCTGATGCTGTGTTCACACCAGACGCGGAACGCGCGTCAAGCGCGAGTGATTAACATGTTAAGTCAATGCAAATGCGCGAATAGACATCCTGCGGCGCGATACGCGCGAATGGCGCGGCATGATTGACGAGAATTGCGCATGGCGCGATACGCGCAAATGGCGTGCCATGAATTAAGCGTTTGACGCGTTTGACGCGCGAATCACTCGAGTTCGAAAATCTGAACTTTAGCGGACATTCGCGCCGCATTAACCAATCAGGAGCTTGCTCTTGTGGGGGCGTGATTGTGACGTATCGCTTGTTGTCGGTGTCCCAAGGGAAATCCCCCAGCAGACACCGACAAGAAGTTCATCAAACTGGGCTGGGCTCAGTCAGAAGCACCGCTGAAAACATCTATCAGCCAGGTTCAGTTTCTGGAGGAGTTTATGAGCTTAAAGAGCTGGATGCACCTCTAAAAGGATGTAGTGGACTCAGACACGGCCCAAAACGTATCAAAACTGTTTATCATCCTTCATAAAGCACATAAACACTGTTATTTTCTTCATAAAATCCATGTTAGTCATGGGGCAGACAGAAGCCCTGCCCATCAGGCGAATCCGCGTCTGTTCTGAAGTGAATTTGACGCGCGGATGAAGCGAGTTTGACGCGCGAATGAAGCGAGTAACCTCAAATGTTCACGCAGCAATTAACGCGCGAATAGCGAGATTTATCCACGCGTTCCACGTCTGGTGTGAACACAGCATTACAATAACATTTGTTTGAAAGTTCTCCATGTACTTACTGCTAAGGACACCGACCTGGAAAGATTGACGTGCATAGATTTGTTTTTTTAGGCAAGGCAAGTTCATTTATATAGCACACTTCATACACAGTGGCAATTTAAAGTGCTTTACATAAACTGGAATAAATAAAATATTTATAAAAATAAATAATAAAAATAATTAAAAACACATAAAACATATTAAAATGTGTTTTATAGTGTTTTATAGTTTTTAAAACCTTTAAAGCATTTGTTATTTTTTTAAAAGAGTTTATGTTGGAAAAAAAGTAGAGCTTGCTTGTTTTTACACAATATTTAAAATATTTTGAGACAAAATAAAATCTAAAATATTATTTTTTTATTATTATTATAATATTGTGTTATTAAGTGTATTAAATTCTAATAACTTTATTTGATAGGGCAAATAAAAATCCATTCCATTCGGGCCATTAAAAAAATTCCTTAGCCTTTAGCCCTTTATGGGTCTAAAATTTAATTAAAAATGGTCTTAATAATGTCTTAAAGTTCTAAATTTAACTCTATAAAACCTGCAGAAACCATGCATTATCTAATTAATACATATTAAACTTCTTTAACATTATTAATCGTACATGCTGAATCACTGATTTGTGTCTGAAGTTTAATTTCAAATGGTTTATTTTATTTTGAAGGTCTGAGGTGAACTATCTGCTGCTGCTTTCAATAGTATGGCAATAAATGTCATGTAAAATGCCATTAAAACTCACATTATTAGCATTTCACACTGAATAAAGCACATGAGCTGTACCTGAGGTGTTCATTGTCAGTTTATCCTGTTGTTCATCTGCTAAAATAGTAGTCGTTTTTACAATATACATTTCTGGTGTTGGTTAGAACAAAAACTCCTTTTGTATGGAAAATATTAATCTATCATGTGCCGCTGCTTTTATTTAGAACACAACTTAAATAAGCCTTTAGGCTCGATAGTCAGGCACACTTGATGCCGTTCATGTCTGTTGATGTCGTCAATCTGGCAACATGCGCTTGCATATGTTTTGAACTAGGTGTGCAATGCTTAGTTCAACCACTGGGTGTCAAACTTACACACTGCCCCTTTAAGCAATGCTTGTTTTCGATTGTCTACATAACAAGCCACTATTATGCAATGATTTGCCTAATTAACCTATTAATCTAACCTAGTTAAGCCTTTAAATGTCTCTTTAAGCTGAATACTAGTATCTTGAAAAATGTCATCATGACAAAGAGAAAAGAAATTAGTTATTAGAAATGAGTTATTTAAACTATTATGTTTAGAAATGTGTTGAAAAAGAAATCTCTCCATTAAACAGAGGTTGGGGGAAAATATACAGGGGGGCTAATAATTCAGGAGGGCTAATAATTCTGACTTCAACTGTATATATGTAGGCATAATTCTGTGCCTGTATTTTCACTCTTGTTCTTCTGTCTGTGTCTCCACAGATGTGGATGAATGTGCTGAAGGAAACGGCGGCTGTCAGCAGATCTGTGTTAACATGATGGGCAGTTATGAATGTCGCTGCAGAGACGGCTTTCTGCTGTCCGACAACCAGCACACCTGCATCCAGAGGCCCAAAGGTGAGAACGCCATCAATGCATGATAGCTGAGCAATCCCAAAGTCATTTTGTTCGGCAACCATCTTTTTTTTATTTTTTATTTAAGCATTGTTTAAATGGGGAGTCATCAGATTTAAAACTGTTTGCCAAGCTTATGATTAAATGTTATATTTATAGTCACCAATACAATTTTCAAAGCAACTGTATGTTAAATTTAGTTTCTAAACGTTCAAATCACGCAAAATCTTATATTTTTAGGCTGTCCATGCTGATGCGCATGCACACTTAGGGGCCATTCACACATTCTGTTTACCAATGCACTACTTTTCTATTGCTTTTCAATGTAGGCACAAGTTTGACTGCTATGCTCTTGTCTTGTGATTTTTGAAGCGCATGTGAGTAATATGTTTTTTAGATGCCATATCAAGTTAAAAGATCTTCACACACATCACTCTCAGGTCCAAACGTAGTCGACCAATCAGAAGGGGTCGGAGTAGGGGCAAACATTGCAAGCTTCTGTTTATAGTGGAAAGCTGGCATGGTAACTGTTTGATTTACAGCTATATAAGGGAAGAGGAGGCACTCTTTGAGTATGTTTACATGGACACCAACACTCTGATTTTAATATAATTAAGACAATACTCTGATTAAGAGTCTGTCGTGTACACAGTGATTAAGACCTGTGGAGTATTCCGATTTTAGTGTGATTATTGAAGTGCAGTACTGTGGTCCCTCACTATAATGCGGTTCACCTTTCGTGGCTTCACAGTTTCGCAGATTTTTTTGTGTGCAGTTTGACTTAAGTAAGTTAGCAGTTACTTATTTTATTTTATTTTTTTTTAACAGCGCATTGTGTTCTACTTCCTGATTGGCTGTATATCATTGTCAATCAATTTTCTCCATGCAGTTTTCTCCACAACAAACCACACAAAGTCGACGAGACGTTCTGTACCCTCTAAGGCAGGGGTTTGCAACATTTTAGGACAAGCGCACCTCCAACCCCCCTCCCCCTTACCTAGTAAGACCTTGATTAGCTTGTTCAGGTGTGTTGAATTAGAGTTGGAGCTAAAATCTGCAGGGCATCGGCCCTCTAAGAACAAGTTTGGTGATCCCTGCTGTAGAAAAACGATGTAGTGACGTGTGTTTCCCAAAACCCGTAGTTCCTCTGTCGCAGATCCATCATTTTAGCTACATTAGTTATAACGTAAAACGCCTATAATGATGCTCTAAACAGGGTGGAGTAACATGTTACGATAACCAGCGATCATTCTCTGGAGATCGTTGGTTTCCTCTTTCTTCATGAACCTCACTTCCGCATTCCCCAGGACTACATTTCCATACATGCATTTCTTCCAATCACGCACGCCTGGTCACTCATCTTCCTGATTACATCACCAGCTGAAACCTGTTACAGAGACTGATTACACACAGTATTTAAGCAGCACACACACTCATTCACTTTGCCGAGTCTTGTCTACTGTTTGGTGACATTTCAACGCGTTTCTCCCGATCTTGTTTCTCCGTGTCTGTACCTAGCTTAGTCTCCTAGTTATCCTGTTTAGCCGCCAGCCTTTCGACCTTTTGCCTGTTTACCGACTTCGACTTTGGATTTGCCCGTATATGCCTGTTCATACCTGTTTTGACCATTGCTTGCCTGACCAACGAATAAACCTGCATTTGGATCTTACCTTCAGTCGTTTGTATCTATCCCGAATCACAACAGAAGACTCGGCCATTATGGATCCAGCAGTGTTTTTGGTCCGTCTACGCCAAGGTAATCAATCCCTCGAGAACCACATCCAGTGTTATTTGGAGATCGCTAACACCACTGATTTACCAGACTGTATGCTCATTGACTTTTTTATTTATGGGCTTAATGAGCCGCTAAAGAGCACACTTTCAAGTGTTCGTTCTCGAGGGACTTTCTCTGAATTTTTGGACTATGCTCTACGCACTGTGGACTCGTCCTTCACCGTAGGTGAGGTGGAGGAAACTCCTAAATATTTTTTGGGGAGGGGCAGTGTACAGCAAGACCAGATAACACCGGGGCTTGCTGCTCATTCCATCACCACACTCCCAGCTCAGAAAATGGCCGCATCTAGTCCTTCAGCTCACAAGATGGCCGACTCCAGTCCTCCAGCTCACAAGATGGCCGACTCCAATCTTCCAGCTCACAAGATGGCCGACTCCAGTCCTCCAGCTCACAATGTGGTCACAACCAGCCCTCCAGCTCACAATGTGGTAAACACCAATCTGCCACCAGCTCACAAGATGGTTTCCTGTTCCTTGTCTGTTCCTGTTCTAGTTCCTGAAGTGCCATCAACTGAGCCCTCAGAATGGTCACCACTACCTGAGTTACCAGAGCTGCCAGACCCTCCAGAGCTGCCAGACCCTCCAGTGCTGCCAGAGCTGCCAGACCTTCCAGAGCTGCCAGACCCTCCAGAGCTGCCAGACCCTCCAGTGCTGCCAGAGCTGCCAGACCTTCCAGAGCTGCCAGACCCTCCAGAGCTGCCAGACCCTCCAGTGCTGCCAGAGCTGCCAGACCTTCCAGAGCTGCTAGACACTCCAGAGCTGCCAGACCCTCCAGAGCTGCCAGACCCTCCAGTGCTGCCAGACCCTCCAGTGCTGCCAGACCCTCCAGTGCTGCCAGACCGTCCAGCGCAGCAGCCAGTGTCCACGTCGCAGCCAGAGTCCACGCCGCAGCCAGAGTCCACGTCGCAGCCAGCGCCACAGCTGGAGACGCAGCCAGAGTCCACGCCGCAGCCAGAGTCCACGCCGCAGCCAGAGTCCACGCCGCAGCCAGAGTCCACGCCGCAGCCAGAGTCCACGCCGCAGCCAGAGTCCACGCCGCAGCCAGCGCCACAGCTGGAGACGCAGCCAGAGTCGACGCTGCCGCCTGAGCTTCCTGAATGGCCGCCGTCTCCTGAGCTTCCTGAATGGCCGCCGCCTCCGGAGCTTCCTGAATGGTCGCCGCCTGAGTTTCCTGAATGGCCGCCGCCCAAGCCTCCTGAATGGTCGCCGCCTCCTGAGCTTCTTGAATGGTCGCCACCTGAGTTTCCTGAATGGCCGCCGCCCAAGCCTCCTGAATGGCCGCCGTCTGCTGAACTTCCTGAATGGCCGCTGCCACCTAAGCTTTCTCAATGGTCTCAGCCTCATGTTCCAGGCCCTCCGCAGCTCCACGCTCCAGGTCCTCCGCAACTCTACTCTCCGGGTCTTCCGCAGCTCCACGCTCCAGGCCCTCCGCAACTCTACTCTCCGGGTCTTCCGCAGCTCCACGCTCCAGGCTCTCCGCAATTCCACTCTCCGGGTCTTCCGCAGCTCCACGCTCCAGGTCCTCCATTGTCAAACAATCCAGGACCACGACAGCTCTACTCTCCGGGTCTTCCGCAGCTCCACGCTCCAGGCCGTCCACAACTCCACGCTCCGGGTCTTCAGCAGCTCCACGCTCCAGGTACGCTCCAGCTGCATGGTCCTGGCCCTCCATCCCTCCCCCTGTTCCGCCTCCACTCCACCTCCCGCCTGAACTGTATTTGGAGCGTCTGGAAGCCGCTCTTTAGAGGGGGGGCTATGTTACGATAACCAGCGATCATTCTCTGGAGATCGTTGGTTTCCTCTTTCTTCATGAACCTCACTTCCGCATTCCCCAGGACTACATTTCCATACATGCATTTCTTCCAATCACGCACGCCTGGTCACTCATCTTCCTGATTACATCACCAGCTGAAACCTGTTACAGAGACTGATTACACACAGTATTTAAGCAGCACACACACTCATTCACTTTGCCGAGTCTTGTCTACTGTTTGGTGACATTTCAACGCGTTTCTCCCGATCTTGTTTCTCCGTGTCTGTACCTAGCTTAGTCTCCTAGTTATCCTGTTTAGCCGCCAGCCTTTCGACCTTTTGCCTGTTTACCGACTTCGACTTTGGATTTGCCCGTATATGCCTGTTCATACCTGTTTTGACCATTGCTTGCCTGACCAACGAATAAACCTGCATTTGGATCTTACCTTCAGTCGTTTGTATCTATCCCGAATCACAACAAACAACTTCTTTAGAGATGAACTCGTCTTTGTGCAAATTATATTGTTTTAGATATTTCTTTGTGCAAATTATATTGTTTTACACACACATGCATTATAAAAAATCCAGTATTAGTTTTGAAAAAACATGCAGTCTTTTTCCTTGTTAATCGAAATATACGTAAATGGCACATATAGGGCCTGAGTTTCCTTTACAAATATTATTGAGAACATTACATATTCTATTCTAAAACATAAAATCACTTACAAAAGCTAACACATATTCTAATATCATAAATAAATAAATAAATAAATAAATAAATAAATAATGAGGCTATTTATAAAGAAATGAAATTTAATATTTATTATTTATTAAGAAATGAAAAAAATAATTCTTTAATAATAATATTAATGATAGTGATGATTATTATTATTATTAGTAGTAGTAGTAGTAGTATTATTATTATGGCGAGGCAGTGGCGCAATAGATAGTGCTTTCACCTCACAGCAAGAAGGTCGCTGGGTCGCTGGTTCGAACCTCGACTCAGTTGGCGTTTCTGTGTGGAGTTTGCATGTTCTCCCTGCTTTCGCGTGGGTTTCCTCCGGGTGCTCCGGTTTCCCCCACAGTCCAAAGACATGCGGTACAGGTGAATTGGGTAGGCTAAATTGTCCGTAGTGTGTGAATGTGTGTGTGGATGTTTCCCAGAGATGGGTTGCGGCTGGAAGAGCATCTGCTGCGTAAAAACTTGCTGGATAAGTTGGTGGTTCATTCCGCTGTGGCGACCCCAGATCAATAAAGGGACTAAGCTGACAAGAAAATGAATGAATGAATTATTATTATTATTATCATTTTTAAATAGGATATAGTTTATTTTTATTTTATTTTTTAAGTCTACTTTTACAATTTGACACATACAAATCACTGCAGAAATGTTCTAACCAGCAGGCCCATGTCATATACAGTACAGATACTTAATAAATAACCTACTATGCATTTAA